CTAGCCTGCGCGCCTGTGCATAGGCCATCCCGCCGTGCAAGCCAGTATGACGGGATGGTGTAGCCTGCGCGCCTGTGCATAGGCCATCCCGCTGTGCACGCGGGTGTGGCGGTGTTGCCCGGGCTCCACTGACAGGCGCCCGCCCAGTGCCCGCTCCCCCCACACAGCCCACACCCTACACTGACCATGAGGACGGCCGCTCCCCCCGCACAGCCCACACCCCACGTTCACCATGAGGACGGCCGCTCTTCCCGCACACCCCATACTCACCATGAGGGCGGCCGCTCCCCCCACACAGCCCACACCCCACACTCACCATGAGGACGGCCGCTCCCCCCGCACAGCCCACACCCAACACTCACCATGAGGACGGCCGCGCCACCGTTCACCGCGCCGGCAGGACGGCCGCTCCCCCCGCACAGCCCACACCCAACACTCACCATGAGGACGGCCGCGCCACCGTTCACCGCGCCGGCCCTCCTCAGGACGCCCCGGATCTGTTCCGAGGCGGGCGCCAGGCAGCCCGTCGAGTACAGGGTGGAGCACGGGCCGGAGGAGGCCACGACCTCGTCCCGGACGCAGCACGCCGTCGGTATGGAGCCCTCAAAGGAGGCGGGGCCCGACACCCCGCAGCACCGGAGCTCGTGGTACACGACGTGCCACTTGGGCTCGAGCAGGCTAAAAACCATGAGGGCCCTCAAGTCCACCTCGAGGCGCGCGCCGAACGACAGAGTCACCTGCCACCCGGCCAGCACCGCCAGGGCCAGGCTCAGCAGTACTTGCAGGCACGTGACCTGCAGGTGGTGAGGTAACAATTAGGATTCAAAAAAAAAGTATTTCGCTCCCTCTCATTTATCATGATTTCCACCCTGCTGCGGCTATTATCAGCCGTTTGCAAGGTAAAAGTGACTTCTTGGTCTCCACGCGAAAAGTGGTCATTTCCAAGCAAAAGGTGCTTGGAAACTACAATTTCCGCATGGTAACTAAGCAGTCACTTTTGCCGTGCGTTGAGGTGACCCACCCCGAGGAGCTTGAACATGCGCTCGTTGCGGGCGGCGCTGAGGCCGAAGAAGCCGACGGGGACGGCCAACAGCGTGGGCACCAGCGGCACCATCAACGGCACGTGAAGGTATGGCGGGACGCTGAGCAGCGAGAACATGGGCAGCGTGAACACGCACTGGAGCACGGCCGCCGTCACGCCCAGCACCTGCGGGACAGCAAATCTGTGAGTCTCTCTTCTTTTACTTCAATCTCCGCCGAGCTGATCATTTTCGATGATTATTCACCGCGCGAACAAATTTTGTAGTCGATCGAGTCACCAACGAAAAGGTTATTCCATACCGCACGCCTTTCCCACGGCTAAACGAAAACTTACTGCACCAAGCTCAGGGCTGGTTTGAGCTCTCAAATGCAGATGATACGGACTTTTGGGCCGTCAAGTGACTAACTCACCTCTTTTGTTGGTTGGCAGAAACTTTGTCTTGCATTTAACAGTCTTCAGGTGTCGGTGAAGCCGTGAAGGCCTCCCCCCCTCTCCTCTTTATTTTGGTCATTCCCCCCTCTCCACCCCAACCTGGACTTCCCTCCTTCACTCTACCCGCTCCGGGCTCCGGGCACCCGCATACCCGCAGGGAGAAGGGGGAAAGAAGAGGAGAGGGGGGGGGGGCAGGAAGCTCCCTGACTCGCTGCAAACTGCTACAAAACAGCTTTCTCTCTCACCATGAACAGGACGGTGGCGACCAGCGCCAGGTAACGCAGGCATCGCGAGGACAGCGCCATGACACTCAGCCCACCATGGCGGTCGCGAGGCACCGGGTGTCAGGAGGATTCCAGCGCCTTCGTCGCCGGCGCGGTCGGCATGGGCGCCTCGGAGGAGGAGATAGTCGCCTGTGGCTGCGTCGGGCCCGGCAGAGATAAGCCGCCTTAGAACAGTCACTGCACAAGCGTGAGGTAATCCGGTTCATTATTCTCAATTTCACAATATTCACCCGTATTCGCAATATTCATTTGTATGCTAATGTATTTTTTCAGTGCGGTGTTCAAATATTGTATTTAATTCATATTATTTGTTTAATTTCCACTGATACTCATGTGTTTTAAACCGGGGAAATGAAAAACCTGAAGCTCGCCCTGGAGGCGAAGGGGAAGGACCGAAGGACCAGCCACCATCAGTCCCCAATATTAGCCCGTATTCAAAAATGTTCACTTAAATATTTTCAACTATATTCGGCATAGTAAATTCTCGCATGATTACCGATGATTGTATTCAACCCATTCAACACGAGCCTACAAGCCTTTCACAGTAATGAGCCATATTCCTCAGTTTTAAACTATAATCGGATATCTGTCGTACACGGGGATAACGAGATAACCTCGAGATAGCCTGCCTTTCCCCTCACGCAGCTGCTGGTGAGCAACCCACCCAGGTACAGTCAGAATACACTGCCGCTTCTGTTTTGTTTTGTTCCCCCGGCCGTCGAACCGTCGAACAATCGAACAATGGAGGCAACGCAACGGAGGCGCTCGCAGGTCTTCTCGATTTCTCATATCGGCCGGTCTACGTGCGCGAGACACACACTTGCAAGCACCTCGTAGTGCTTCCAACACCAACGTGGAGGCAGGTGAGGTGTTGAACATGCTGACCCAGCTCCTGGGCAGCTCCGGCCGACTACGTCTAAAGTCTTTTCACTTTGAGGTGCGGGGAGGCGCCGCCCCGTCGTCGCCGGGTGCCCGGAGCAGGGACAGCATCGGCGCCACGAAGAGGGGAGACGGGGGAGACGGGGGAGGGGGACACCGCGGGGGGCCGCAGGCTGTGACGTCTGCCCGGTCGATGCGTACCTGCCTGGCGAGCAGGAGACAGCCGCGGGTACCGGCCGGTCGCGCACCGCTCGACGACTGGCCCGTCATGCTTGATGCTTGGGGTCTGCGCGCGGGCCCCGCCGCCCGCCGCCCTGCCGCGCCCCACCGGCCCCGCCCCCCACTGCGCCCCGCCGGCCCCGCCACACCGCGACAGTCTTCTTGGCTCGCAATGCAGCGCGAGCGGCATTTCGGAGAAGGTCCGACGCAGTGGTGGCGGTCGGGCTAGCAGTACAGCAAACCTTCAACTCAATCAACAAAACTACAGTAATGATTGTTTAAAAAAAGCACATTAGGTCGTGTGATGCTATTTATAATACTAAGACGTATTATAGCTTGAAGAATTATAGCTTGTTTAAATCATTCTGACGCCCTATCATTCAAAATTTTGCCCAAGGTCAATCGGACTTTAAACAGTAAAGCTATTTCAGTGCAAATATCGCATTTTATTTTGCAATTTTGGCAAATATTTGAAATATGGTAACATTTTGTTTTAAAGTCTGCTATCGCCATGGGCAAAATTTTAAATAATAGGGCTTGTCATACAGATTAAAATGACCTCCACTTTGTGACCTACAAGTTTTCTCACCAAATATGTCACATTTTCAGCACACTAAATCACCGCTGCATCAATTTTTCAAAAATAGGGAACACCCTACTAGCGCGACCCCTGAGGCGCCCTGCCGAGGTGCATGTTTGGGCAGAGCTCCCAAGAGCCCCGACCAGGTCACGCATGACATTTACACACAATCACCATTAAACCGCGAGCGGGAAAACGTGCAAAGAAAGCAGGCGCGGATTAAGGTCCGGCTGATATGGGGGGCGATGCACTGTCAGTTTTGCCTACATGCAGGGGTTTTGTGGCGCAAATTACCTACCTTTCAGGCGGCTCTCTAGAGACCACAAGGAGGGCGACCCCCCCCACTCTTGAAGGAAAGCTCGGATACCTCCGGAACGCCTTCAGAAGTATCGGGTAGCCTTTGGACGGTTTAGAAGCATCGGAAAAGCCTTCAGATAAGCTGGAGCGGGTGTGATGTGAATGTGAAACTGGAGAAAACTTTGTCCTAATGTGGCGTGGTTTCACGGCTTCACAGCTTCAAGGAAGCCATGTTTGCCCAGGGCAGAGCCACAGCACAACGGGGCGGGGCAACCTAGCTCGGCCAACAAATGTTTTCGTTGGAATTTTTCCGCAGGATGTGGATTTACTTCTTCATATTGGTCATACCAAAACATAAAAAAAACGCAATTGAGGAAAGTCTTTGCTTTAGGTGTGGAGTCGTAACATGACACACATCTCTGTATCAATTCAAGATTTCTGGCATAAGCTGCTATCTCTTGGCATTGGCCGGTTGTGGCCATTCAAAAGACAGGAAGAAGGAGAGATCGAGTGCGCGAGAGAGATAGAGAGTAAGGTGTGTGTGGGTGTGGGTGTGTGTGTGTATGTGTGTGTCGGAGCATGCTATCAGATACGCGAGGGTACGCAGCGTATGACACACCATTGTAAACCAGCTGTTGTACAGGTGGACTAAAGGCGCAGAGTTTTCTAAAAGAGTCATACAGTGACTATTGCGATGATTTAAGAAACACTAGTGAGGATTCATCCAGGGTTCAACGGCAGAATAGTAATAAATAATTAATGTATTTATTTGTAAGAGGAAGATAATGGAAATACAAATGTTCCCAATATACCATACAAAACGTTTTCCTGGACGTTATCCAGGGTGATACCGAAACGTTATCATTTTAATGCCACTTATCGTTTCGCACGGTCACCGTTATCGTTAACGATACAGTAGTACCTCACACAAGAAGAGGCATCGAAACACTAACGTTTCGATTTCGCCAAAGGACTTTTGCACGATGATGTATGATGTTACAGAAGATTGGCAAAACGTGACATAACATGCTCTTTTCTGTAACCGGGACATAATATGTTGTCTTGCACATCCAAATTAAAGTCGCAACTTTAAACGCAGTATCTAATATTAAAGCGTCTACCAGCGTCTTATATTCGACACTTTTAGCCTTAATATCGTTCTCACGGTCAATTAAGCGGTAACTAACAACGGTAACGTTTTCGGGCAAATAATCTGTCTTAAACATAGAGAAGTAGTATAAAATAATTACAGTTTTCTGCTCTTTCATCTACTACAGCGACAGCTACATTTTACTACAGTTATAGTTTACTCAGTTATCGTAATTTGTGAATGATTTACGCGAATTTGTACCCAATCATGACACCAGACCTCACGGTCTCACAATAAAGTAAAATTATATCAATACAAATTATAAGTAGAAAATATGAAGTATCTAGAGAACATAATGTAATGAAATAGAAATTTTAATAACCACAATTCAGGTAGTGAGTTGAATAAATGGATAGTTATGTATTCGTAGAAATACTGCATTAGACTGGAAAATAACGGTGCTTAACTTTAGTACAGAGGCATGAAAGCAGTCAAATGCACGGTAAGCTCGCAACTTTCGGGAGTATTCGATTTTTTGCAACAGCATGAGCATTAAAATCACCCCTTAAATCATCCCTTACAAGGCGTTAAGTCTCACCTTTGTATTGCGGTGTAAATGTTTTGCTTAGTACGATCACGATCTGCCTCCTCAAGGCAAACACAGACTTTCCGGTTCTGTGGTTTTTAGTTGGTCATGCGAGTAGTATATACGGCACTGAGACACGATCATTAGAATTTTTAATGGTTTTCAGGATGATCATTACGGATCCCATACCATACACATGATCCCCCCCCCCCCCCAACTCAAATCTCCATTGGTGGCATTTTTACCACACAGGCGGTGCAGAGATGTAACAAAGTGTGTAAAATAATCAAACGCCAGCTCACCTCACAAAGATGTTGTGCCAAGGTGTGTAGTGTTACAGAGTACAAATCCAAGATATGTGATCTGATATAACATCTCAACACTACACTTCTCGACTCATCATTTATGTGAGGTAGCTGACATTTGACTTCTTCACACACTGTGTTCTGTGTTACAAATGTTATCTCTGCACCGCGTGTGGGGGAAAATGCCCCATGCAGCCGCTAGACAGGGTGAGGGGTGATCATGTCTATGGTATTGCATCCGTAATGATCATCCTGAAACCCAGTGAAAATTCTAATAATCATGTCTCAGTGCCGTATTTTAAACAACTATGTGAGTAAATCCTCAAGGAATTTTAGTGCACGATTAGCTCAGAAAATTAATAAGAAAGTGAAAAAGCAGCTGAAAATTATACAGGAGCTCAGCTGCTGAGCATCAGCACTAATTCTCAACTTTCTAAACGATAATGTTTTGAGTTTCAAAATAAGGTTTTAAGCTACGTATTCCTGAAAAGGGGGGTACATCCTGCCATGAGACTAACGGTGATTCTGAAATAACACCTTTCTTATTTTTTACTGAATTTTTGGAACCACTTGCTGTGGCCAATAATAATAATAAAAATGTCCAAAGGTGTTAAAAATAACAGAAACATCTTAACTTTCATTGAACTACCCGCTCCTCGCGGATATCTGTTGGAATGTGTCTCGCAGTGGGGCAGTGCTGACCGCACGGATGTGGGCGCAAGCCCGGCGTCCGCGAAGACCTGGAGGACCTCGATATCTCGATCAGGTTGGCTCCGCTTCACTTGGAGTCGTCGTCACGCTTCTTGATGGACGAGGCCAGGCAGCAGGCCAGGATGATGCCGGCGATCTGCAAAGCGGAGCGTCATCAGTCAATGGACAAGTATAATTGGAGTCCTACAGGATGGGTGATCCGCGCCGTCTTTTTTAAATGCTTATACTGTACCGGATTCTTACGTGCGAGCGGGCTTGCCTACCGTCGCTCGCCAGGGCGCCTTACGGCGCCGTGAGAGTATGCAACCCATCGCACGTAAGAATCCGGAACATTATAAGCATTTAAAACAGACGGCGCGGATCACACTGTATAGGAAAATCGAAATTAGTGAAGTATCGAAACGAAATCAGAAATGAGAGATGCATTCTTTTCAGGGCTATTTCAATATCGATTCAATATAAAATTCGAATTTCGCCTTATTGAAATCGTTGCCATATCACCACACTAGTAAGTGAAGCTGCTGGCTGGCACCTGGTTAGGGGCACATAGGACAGAGAGAAAT